AATGTTTTGAGTGATTGTTTTCTTTTAGCAAAGTAAGTCAAAGGGGAATTATTACAGTGGAGTCCATAGAAGATTTTGAAGCAGCTTCCTTCAACGGAGAACCAGACCCATAAAGAAGAAATACAGTGTCTCTCTCTAACTGATTCTATGAAAGTTTCCATTAAGATCTTGGCCATGAACATTTTAGTAGGAACAGTACTCATATAAAAATTATTTAAAGTGGAATTATTTTTCTTTATGTTCTAGATTTTCAATGAGGTCAAACTGCTTATAAAAGTGGAATAACAAATTGCTCATAACTGCTCATAACCTGCATGGTAACAGGTTATTTTAGTATATCAGTCTTAAGTTTTAAAACAACACTTTATAAGTCATAATGGAAAATAACTTTCATGCAAAATTAAAAAGCCTGCCCTTCAGTTACTGCTCATCTTCCTTTGTCCCTTTGAACTCATGGATAGAAGAACCATTGCAAGCAGCAGGATACAAAAACTATTAAGAGACTTCTAAGTATGTTACCATACTAATTCAATATTCTGGACAACAGTTTTATGTATTTTTAATTTTCTAAATTTTGCTTTAGTCTCAAATAGTTGCTGCACACTAAATATTAAATATCCCTGTAGAAGTGTATGGTTGTTAGACTGTATTTTGTAATTTTTTTATCTTCCCAGACAAATCCTGCACTGATTTAATGATGTAGATCCTCTGATGGAGCCATGCTATGACATGTTATTACTGCCTATGACTTTCTGACTAGGGATGTCCAGCCTACTCAGAGAGCCAGTGACCTCTGAGTGTGTGGTGAATACTCTAAGTTCATCTTGAATGTGTGAAATAGGAGGTGGGCATTCGTGGAATGACATCCAAATAAATGCATACATGCCGTGAAAGCGTCACAAAACTATCTGCATCCTACATCTTACTATTATTTTACAATGTGTCATAATCTATTGTTTTAAAGAGACATCTATTACAGAAAATCATTTGTTAAGATATCCATGTTGTTTTCAGATCTGAAATCAGGAAAAAAATCAGTCACTGAATCCAGAGATGCTAGCAGAGTGAGCTGTTAGGACTTGTGACAAAGTAGACTAATTCTATATTTCTAGTGTATTAAGAAATCCCTACTAAAATTATTTTAGGCTGGCTGAATAAGATCTACAAGATTAAACCTGGAACATCAAATACCAAGATTTAATTAATGTGAATATCCCCTCTCATCTTTGTTTCTGTTGGATGCGTAAGATAACAAAAGAATTATTTTAATTGTTTTATGATGGCCCCCATCGCATATGACAGTAAAACACAGCAGGAAACTCTGTCTTAGTTTCTAAGTTGTGGGTTTTATTATAAAACCCCACAATAATATTAAGGCTTTGTAATGGTCACAATAAGAAAGAACATTTTTGCATTCTTAGTGTCATCATTCAGAAAATTGTACGGATTGACCACATGCAAAGGTTTTACAGGTCCACTAAGACTGGAACTGAGCCCTGTCTTGTTGATAGAAACTTCATGAGATACTTCAGTCATTGCACTGAAGATGGAGTAGACAAATTCCCAAAAACCCTTAAATTCAGGATCATGCCAGAGTGTTCACTGAGATCTATTTGCTAGTGCTTTGATCCAGGCTAAGTACCTCAGATGTAAAGCTACGGAAAAGTATCAAGATACAACGAAATTGAGTCTCAGTGAAAATGTGGAAATTTTCAGTATTGCTTTTACCAGTGACACCACAGATGATCTAGCTATGGAAGAAATGGTGATTAAACCATATATTGCCAAACCACTTTATATATTAAAAAAAAAGTTACAGCTTCATATTTTGACCTAGTTCCTTTTATTGTTCAACACTTCAGCACTGTTAGAAACACAATCATCCATTGTATACTTGTCATATCTTTTGTAAACTGCAAGAGTTCTTTAAAAAGGAAAAATACTGACTTTCAATCATTTTTCTAAGCTATTTATCATATTCAAAGTTGCAAAAATCTTCAGAGATTCAAAAAAGAAACAGTGGGCTTTAATCTAAATGCTCTCTATTTACATTATGGTTCTAAAATGTGAAAATAGTTTGGGGAAAAAATTTTGCACTTCATACAGTCAAGCTTCATGAAAGCACATCTGAAGGATGGAAGGGTATGCATAATACTGCAGAAAGCTGTGAGGCCTTTGCAATTCCTTTCAGAAAGTCATTGCCAGGCAATGTCAGTAATACGTGAATTCATAAACCACCATCTTACCAAGTCTGGAGTACCCTCACTGTGTAAGGCAAACTCCATTCCCCTTCAGACTCAGCTTACGCTAACAAAACTGTACTCTCAGCTGCCATTATGAACTCTGACAAGAAGAAACCATTCTCTTAGTTATTGGTCTACCTTATTTTTGTTCCCTGTGCTGATCTAACTTGAAACAGGTTGCCTGTGAAAACAAAATTTGCATATCTTGCCTAAATGTCTACTGACACGAGTGATGAATTGCATTATGTTTGCGACAGGAATATTCTACAGTTTGATCCCTCAGTCAAGCCTCCAACTGAACCACAAACCAGCTTTATACATACAAATGCACTGATTCATGTGCTTCCTAAATGCCACTATATATAGCTACAGAAAACAAAGACTTAACATACCTCTCCTTCAGATTTTTGGCATTCCGAGGAAAGGGGGAAAATGCTTTAAATAGTGAGTGAAAGACAAAGAGCATACTACTACTGAGAAGTACTGTGAGGCTTAATTTGCTAACTGATTATAACTTTCAGTAACAACCTGATGAGCAATTTCCAAGTGCATTAAACTAATTAAATAAAACATTAAAATAATTGTATTAATGTCAAAATTCTCAGCAACTCCAGAAAAACACTGAGTACAATGAAAAACAAGTGAAGGAAACCTTCCAGGTATCAAACACTTCCACCCCCTCTAACAATGCTGTTTCTCAAGCTCATATTCAGGAAAACCCACAAGTAGGGACAAGAATTAAAGTATGTCTGAAATTGGAAGCAAGATATGTTGGAAATGTGTTTCAAAACGTAAGGGGGGGGGAAAAAAAAGAGAGAAAGTGTTTGCCCTTAAGCTTCCTCTGTCCTTTCCACTAAGCACATTTCAGAAATGGGTGCTTTAACTGGGAGACACGCATCCCCCTGGGACTCTGCGCATTTTTGCGAGCAGCACGGTGCACCCCTCTGTGCTCGCACTCCTCCTGCCCAGCCCCACCGACGAGGTGGCACCTTAGGATAGAAATCAGGGCCGGGGAGAGAGGATGGAGGACGCGCCTTTCTCCCAGCGTGGGAGTGAACAGCGCACCGCGGCTGCGCCTCCTCCGCGCCTCTGGGGCTGCGGCGTTTGTGTTTTGTAACGGGCTCCGCGGCTTCCCCGTGCCCCCCATGACAAGCACGACGGAGGTGAGGGGCCCCTAACTCCCAGGGCCCGCACCTGCTTAGCGCCCGGGTCTCCTGCACATCCTCGGCCCTGTCGCCTGCGCTGCACGGCCGCGGCTGCCCCCTCCTCCTCCTAGGGCGCTCGTTAGCTCTGAACGGTGTTAAACCCCATCCCTGCCGTTGCACGGGCCGCTCGGGGAGGAGAATAGTGGGGAACGTCCCTCAGTTCAGACCGCTGGTTCCTGGGCTTCGAGCTGTTGGGGTCTGAAAGAGGCGCTGACCCGCAAGACACCGAAAGGGTCCCTCATCCCTCCCTCCTTCCTTCCCTCCGGCCCTGCCCGCGGCCGCTGGCACCACGGCAGCTGGAGCGAGTTCAGCTTTTCTTCTCCCACAGCACTGGGGCTTGGCTGCCCTTAAAGAAAATCGTCTCCTAACAACGTGTCAATGTTACATTCCTCCACAAAGCAACTTCTATTAGGGGGGCTGGGAGCTTGGCACTGCCTCGCTACAGACTGGGAGCTTTGTGGCTATGCAGAAAACAAGGAGAGAGGGAACATTTCCTGCATTAAAATGCAATACCCTGGGCTTGATGATTTATCCCTTGCCGCATGGGCACATCCCCCCGCCCCTCCCCCATTCCCACATGGCTGCTCTGAAGGACCCCTTCCCCCACAGGTTGCAGCCAGAGTCCCCCATCTAGGTTCGTCCTACACTTCCCCTGCCTCCCATACCCAGTGCTCTTCCCAAAATCACCCCCAGACCTCCCCAAAATGCCAGGAAGGTGAAACAGAAGGTATGATGCAGAGGGGCTAGGCAGAGGGCTGCCATGCTAATTGCTGGACCCTTTGCCTTCCCACCCTTCCACAACCCCCATGTTTCCAGTGGGGACATGAAGAAGCTGTTGGGATCGACACATCAACCCCCACACACTAGCACTGCCATGACATTTGGAACCTTCATCTCCTGGAGCCAAGGCTGCCTGGAGAAGGGGTGAAGCAGCAGCCTGTAGCCCCTTTGCAGAACTCCCCACATGTCCTGACTGCGCAGTGCCTCACATCTCTAGGCGTCTTAGGCAGAGGGTTTACCCTGAACAACTGCATTTGCTTTTGGGGATTTTTTAGGTTGTTGAGCTTTGGCCCACTTGGGACCAGGTGTCCTCACTACGGTAAATCTATTCATCTTTTAGTCAGATTGCCCACATGCCTTTGGAAATGTTTTCCTTGTGAAATCAAGGGATCATACCAAGAGAGCCAAGATTTTGTAGTCGGGTGGTTGCAGTAAAGAGGTGATGAGGGGGAGAGAGATTCCTGTCTCACCACCTGTGGGCATTACTGTAAGTGGGAGCTGAAAACAGATGGATCTACTTACGAGGAGCCTCAACAGTGCTCAGTAGAACCATATACTGAAGGTTAGGCCAGTTTAGAAATGGGAATGCAGCCTTCCATGCCCTGAGGGAGACTGCATCTTCTCCAGCCCTTTTGCTTCATCTAGAGGCAAGCTGGAGTGGAGAGCAGGTCAAATGAATGTGAGTACTGAGGTGAGCTGGTAGCTGGACCTACACACCGGTGTGGGATTCAGCACACACACACCCCCCACCCCCCCAGAAAGAAGCACCTACCTTCTTTTGGCGGCCGTTTGGCTTCTCTGGTGAGGTTGCAGACCTGGGTTGTTTGCAGCTCCTGGGTCAGGCATCCCTCCGTTTGCTCATTGAGGGGCAGCACCACGTTATTAAGCAACACCAGGGACTGGTCGTCTATTCCCCATTCTCCCAAATGCTGAGGGCAGGTGCATTTTGTATACATGATCCCACAGGACTCGGTTCTCCCGTTCTCAGATTTCAAGCAGCTCTCCAACCAAGTGCATAACACATGGCACCCAAACTGGCTTGGGCTCACCTTGTTCAACACCAAAAACTCAAAGAAGGATTTTTGGTCATCTTCTTTTTTGTGTAATCCTGGGAAATCGATAGGATAGACGCGGCGTATCTGAATAAAATTCTTATCATACTGCAGAAATACAAAAGCATTCTTGGAATTGCAGAGCTGCATTATAGAATGGTTATTTTTTAAAAGATCCTTTATTTTTTCATGGGAAAAATGATCAAACTGATAAGCCAAGAGGGAAAAGTTGGAGCAGCTGAAGTCCTTTTTGGAAAATTTCAGGTAAATACTATATTTGGTCGGATCTGGATTTTCCAGCGTCCAAGTGCAGTTTGTGAAGTTTTTAGGAAACATTTCACTTACAGAATATGATCCATAAATGACCCCCTTCACCAGCGTGGAACACCAGAAGTCTTGGGCAGCATTAAATCCAAACATAACCAGTAGATAGGTGGAAAATATATAAATCAGCAAATTACGAACAGCCTTCATCCTATGTCATTTGGCCTGCAGGAGATGAAATGAAATAAAAATGCAAGTAGAATTCTTCACGCATAGAAAACCAAACTCCTTCCAATATTCGAGCCAGCTGTTTTCAAGCTTGCAGTTCGAGCCCCTTTCAGAAAGAAGGGCAGGTAATTTGTATTTTATACGGCGAGGGCCGGGACCGCTGCCGTGAACGCAGCGCCATCACGTGGCTGTCGCAACTGCCACGGCCTCTACAGTCAAATTAAACAAAACCAACATCTATTAGATTATTAATAGGAATGTCCTCTCCTGTCTAGGCTTTTGTCATCATGGCGAGGACCAGAACCGCTCAACTTAGGTAAAAGCCCAGGCACCTTACCCGGCAGACCGAGAAAAGGGTGATTTATTTATTTATTTATCTAAAAAGTAAATAAGTAGCCTGCTACAGTTATCTATCTGCATATACAGTACACACATGTAGAATTCCACCGGCACAGAACACAGAACAAGAAAGCCAGTAGTATCTATTGTTATGTGTTATTTTTCTATTAAGTCTGAGAAGTAACTGAAGAACTACAGCCATAATTAAAAAACACATAAATTATTATTTGCTACAGATGGAAGGGTATCTCAAATAAGCCTACATGCCCTCACCCTGGTCACCCAGTATAGATAGGTCCCTATAAAAAGAAAATCCAAGCAAGAAATTCTGAGATTAATGTATTGCTAAAATTTTGAGGCTACTGGAGAAAGGAACAAAGACAGATGAAACTAGTGCTGGTCTGACACTACCACTAAGTGCCAGATTTTTTGGATATTAATTTCGATGTGCTTCAATCCCTAAGGATGTATAAAATGGATCACTGTATTAGTATCTACAAGCGGTAGCTCTATATAGCTGTCAATGATATGGCAGGATCCCTGCACCTATTGGACTGCACTTGCCCTCTTATTACAAATATCTTGTACTGTCTGATTAGCTCCTGCGTTTTGCAGACATGCGCTTGAATGATGAAAGACATATTACATTCTCTCTGCTACTATCTCCAAATAAAGCTGTTTTACTGCATCTGTCAACCCTCACAGCCTCCACATGCTCTGTTCTCTTAACAGTGGCCCAGGTTAATAAAGTGAATCTTAGTTATATTTACCTCTGTAACGTTATCCAAAAAAATTCAAATTGAACGTTTTCAGCATTAACCTTTAAGAAGTTGCTTATCTCTTACAAATAAGAAGCTTTTCGCCTTCTGCTTTTAAATGCAAGCAGACAGAAGTGATGCCAACCTAATTTCGAAACTCTCTAGATTGCAGTCTTTTCCACTGTTGCTCTGTAAGCAGAGGCACACACACACAGAGGCACCGCTACTGAGTTTTGATGTGTGTCTTTGCCTAGCTTTTCATCTCCTCACCAAACAGCAAGGCATCTTCTGTCTCCCATTGCGTAACACACAGCAAATCACCAGATTAAGCTCCCTTGAAGAGATTTCCGTATCTCCTAGATTATAATTCAAACTCTGGATCTTGAAACGGCCAAAGCAGCACCAGCTCTAACCCTCTTTATAGTGGAGGGTTTAAAAAAAAAAAAAAAGCAGAGCTGTTCCTGGGTCTATCCACACGGTCAGATTTCCTCCTTTCTGAGCGTCCATCTCAATGAATAACACGGTCCTCCTTCTCCAAATAGGCTCCGTACAGCATTTAAGGTTTAATAAAAGAGAAACTTATTGGGAATTCTGGAAACAATTTCCCCTTTGCTGAAGCACTTTGCAGGCAATGCAGTTCTGCGCAGTGTTATTCAGGATGGTGTAGGCGTTGAAAGCCAATGTGACAATAAGTGTCTAAATTAGGAATTCCACCCATGAAAAAGGATTAATTTTACAATCTGGAAAGCAAAAAGGGAGCTTATTTGCTGCTCTGTTCGAAAAGGACTTTTTCCCATCCTATGTAATATTTGCAGTAGAAAAATAAAGACGTCTGCAGTGCTAGGCTCTTTTCTATGAAGAAACGTAATCAAATAGCCCACATTTCAGTTGTGCATTTATTCAGGCAAGGCTACTGAAACACAGCATTGTCTTAATCTCTCTCTTCCCATGTGCATCACACAGATGTACACACACACACTCCAATTGAGTGTGCCGGCAGCATTTCGGTTAGTTTGCAGTATCGCTAGATACTAGAGCAGTCTGCTCACTGAAAGGATTAGGCACTCAGATTAAAAAGATTTTTTTCATTTCCATTGAGAAAAGAGTTAAAAAAACAGCCAGAGAGGCTTAAGGTTGCCCATTTGGGAAGGGGGAGAATCCTCTTCTGCTGAAAAGCAAACGGGCGTTTAGTTTGGATATTCCCCGAACTGATTTTCTAGGCGACACTCTAGTTTAGCCGAACATAGACGGCGCCATCACTCCACTTATTTTTCTTTTTCCCCAACAGAAGACCCGCTGACTTCTCTTATTTTAACTTCCTATTAACCTAACATCATCACACTCCCCTCCCTCCAAAATTACCCCAGCCGTGCACAAACCTCAGGTTTTCTCGGTCTCGCTGGAAATTACTCTCAGGGAAGCAGACCTGTCGCGAAACGCACTTCTCTTAACTTTTAAACTGCAGCGCTGAAGTAAATGCGGAGATCATTTCGTATGTGCTGTCTCTATCCTTCAGCAACAGCCTGTCCCCCTCCGCCGCCGCCTCCTCCCCGGAATCCCAAGCTAAAAGCTCTTCAGTCGTAATCTCTGGAAATGGGAAATGGAGATGCCCCGGGCACCCTTACCTTCCACTCCGAAAGCTGTCAGGCTATTTCTCTAAAACACTAGCACCACAGGCACACGTCCCAACAACAGTGATGGAGAGACTCCCCTTCTGTCGGAAGCACCGTTTCCCATTTTCCCCGGCTCAGGTTCAAAACCAAGATGAAAAAAAGCAGCAGAAGATAAAAAACGCGGCGAGAAAACCCCCGCACGCCACACACACACACCACCGAGGAAAAAAAAAGCAGCTTTAGCGCCGAATCCACCAAATCCAACCACATGAAGGGAAAGGAAAGAAAAAAAGAAAAACCACCTCAAACCAGCGAGACTGCAGGGGAAAAAAAATGGAAGTGGCTGAGCAAGCGAAAGGTTTTGTTTGTTTGTTTGTTTTTTACTTGAAACAAAGTCTCCGCACAGCAGCGCGATGAGCGGCGATGCCAGCCAGGCGACGGTCTGAGAGGACTAAGGCGCTAGTGCAGATTTGTTGGTGGGTTTTGTTGTTGTTGTTGTTACTAAATAGACTTATTCTTCTTTCCTCACTCCCCCTTTCTCCTCAGACCGGTG